GAGGCCAAGGCCGGTGCCATCCTTAACGGTCTCGGTTTCAACCAGGCCATGATGGCCAAGCCCACCAAGGACATGTCTGGTGGTTGGAGGATGCGAGTCGCTCTGGCTCGAGCTCTGTTCGTCAAGCCCCACTTGCTTCTTCTTGACGAGCCCACTTCCCACTTGGACTTGGGTGCCGTCGTATGGCTCGAGGCCTACCTTTCCACCTACAACCACATCCTTATCCTTACCTCCCACTCGGCCGATTTCATGGACACCGTCTGTACCAACATCATGGACCTGACCATGAAGAAGAAGCTCACCTACTACGGTGGTAACTACTCGACTTACGTCCGAACCAAGAGCGAGAACGAGGTCAACCAGATGAAGGCTTACGCCAAGCAGCAGGAGGAAATCGCGCACATCAAGAGTGAGTTGAATCGTCCCGCCTGCCGGTGTCTTCGCTAACCACCCCTTACAGAGTTCATCGCTTCCGCCGGTACCTACGCGAACTTGGTCAAGCAGGCCAAGTCCAAGCAGAAGATCATCGACAAGATGGAGGCTGCTGGTTTGGTTGAGCCCGTCCAGACCCAACGTGCCCTGCGATTCAACTTTGAGGACGTCAAGAAATTGCCCCCTCCTATCATCGCCTTCTCGGACGTTGCCTTCTCTTACTCTGGAAAGAAGGCAGACTACCTGTACAAGGACCTGTCATTCGGTATCGACATGGACTCTCGGTGAGTGGTCCTTTCAAGCCTGGACCACGGGTCAGTGCTGACCGCGACACCCAGAATTGCCATTGTTGGAGACAACGGTACCGGAAAGTCCACTCTGCTCAACTTGATCACCGGAGCTCTCCAGCCCGTTGAAGGTTCTGTCAACCGACACACCGCCCTCAAGCTTGCCAAGTACTCTCAGCACTCTGCCGACCAGCTTCCTTACGACAAGTCACCCGTCGAGCACATCGGATCCCTCTACGCCGAGAAGTTCCCCGACAAGGACATTCAGTTCTGGAGGCAGCAGATCGGTCGATTCGGTATCACCGGTTCTCATCAGACCAGCCCCATCTCTCACCTGTCCGACGGTCTCAGGAACCGGTCAGTTGACTCGGCTACGTTTGGTAATCTGTTGCTGACGAGATCTACTCTACAGTGTCGTCTTTGCCATTCTTGCCATGGAGATGCCTCACATCATCCTGCTTGATGAGCCTACTAACCACTTGGACATGGTACGTGGGCGGTCCTGGCCACAAGGCTCGATGACACGGCTGACAAACCTGGATAGGAATCCATCGATGCCCTCGCTATTGCTATCAAGGAGTTCTCAGGTGGTGTAGTGATTGTCTCGCACGACTTCCGTGAGTGGTCGAGCATCTTGTGGTGATAGCGAACTCACACTGTATCCCTGCAGGACTTATCTCGCAGGTCGCCGAGGACCTGTGGGAGGTCAAGGACAAGAAGGTGATCAACCTGACCAAGGAGGACGTTTCCATCGTTGACTACAAGAAGTCTCTGGCCAAGCGAAGTGAGTATATGGCGTCTACCGCATGTAATCGATGTGCTGATAGAGCCTTCAATTACCAGGTCAAGCCCAGATCGAAAAGGCCAAGCTCATCTCAAAGTCTTCCACCAAGGGTGTGGTCTAAACGATGCGCGGTCCGTGACAGTGTCGAGGCGAGAGGATACAAGTGTAGAAGTCTGCGAACGATTCGCAAATCCTATTCATCTTATTGCTGCTTTCCAACTGTGTCAAATAGTTCAGTTCGTCATTTGGTCTGCCCCCGTTCCTCATAACGGTGTCCGTGTCAATTCAAGACACCTTGTCTCCGTCTACTTAGTCCTGCATGTGATACCCTTGACTGTTACGTCTGAGCTGGGAGACTGCTCGTGCCGAGACTCTACTCAGCGGCAGACCGCGTTTCCCGTGCATTGCTTGGCGCTCGCTCGGTGACGGTGGCTGACACCATAGAGGAAAACGCGCGGGCAAAGAAAAGGGCCGTGTTTAGGTCACAAACAAAGCCAGGTCCACAAAAACCCAAAAAGATTGGCGCCACCCGGGATCGAACCAGGGACCGCACGAATGAAGAATCGATGATCGAACTTCAGTCGTGCGCTCTCCCAACTGAGCTATGTCGCCTTGTGGATGTTTGCTTATTTTTGCGTGCATTATAGATCGTCCGATTCCGCTAGATTCCCCGTCAATCCGTCTTCCAGGTGCACAGGCTCGATACTTCTGCTTCATGCTATGGTACAACTATCTGTCATCTACCTTATTCAATCTATTTCGAAGCGGTAGCTATGGCTTACCTCATTTCTGATTGATCGCCGGAACGGACGCCCATCGCCATAGTGAATGAGTGCGGACGCGAATGTTTTGTAGGATGGGCGATATCACATCATACGCAATAAACGTGGCTTAGGATGCGAACAATGTCAAGCGGCATTCATCGCGACAGCAGCATTTATTACTGTGAGGCTCGGAACAATGCCAGTCAGCCATCGCGAAGATATCGCGGTTCGATGGTGCTAGGGGGACGGGCTCCGATACGACCGGAACAACCTCAGCTCGTAGGGCACTCTGGGTGAAGTGCAAGTCGCTGCCATTGGCCTAGCAACCACAGGGCGAGCGTGACCACTGATCTGTCAGTCTCGGGTGAATGTCCTCTCGTCTGTGGATTTGGGGACTGGGATGTACTCACGGCCCACAATGAAGGAGTTCGAAAGTAATTCAACATCCTCTGAGCTGCGACTTCGCTCTGGCATGAGATAGTATATCCACCTGACACCGCTACCGCCCCACTCTCTGTTGCTAACGTCGCTGATGATAACTACTAAGAATAACCTCGAACATCCTGTAAGCCGGGTTGTTCCAGGGCCGCCAGTAGTGGTGCAAGCTGTCTGCGTCACAGGCGTTGAAGCAGACACAAGTCTATTTGACTCGATCAAGCGCTTGTAAACTCGTAATGTGCTGTGAGGCTCGCCTCGATCTGTGCCTACCCTCGAGTAGCGCATGGATCATCAGACCACTGACTGACGTTGTTCGGCTTCTATTTCCGACGCAGGGCTATCGCAATCGCTTTCCGCGTCCTGTGATTAGCAGGATCATCGCCCTCGATGAACCGGCCGTCTACACAACTCGAAAGCTCACCTTGGTTTCATTGCAACTCTGGCGGCCTGAGGCTGACATTAGACTTGACTCAACCGAGTCTATGAACGAAGCCGGTAGCCGAGGCGGCGATGCACTGGAAGGTCGTGGAACTAGATGAAGATGTTCCAAACGGCCGGGTGATGTCCTGAGAGTCACAGTGTCAACGAGGGACATGGGGCTTTATCTTCTGGATCCGATATTTGTGAGTGTCAAGTCAGTGAAGGATAGAGGACGGATGGTCTTTGCAGTCGACTGTTGAGGTGATAGAGGATGGCCCAATCTCTCAAGAGTACCGTTTGATCATTTCACCAACAGGCTGTGACTGTTGTCGTGGGTGTTATCTCTGGCAGCGGCATAGGATCAGACACCACTAGCATCCGACCAGGTCATATGCGATTCGTATGTCATAAAGCCGAATGCCAGTCTCAGGCGATGCTGAAAGCCCTCTCAGTGCTGCATAGTGGTCCCATAGCCAGTCGACCCAAGAATCTTACAGTTGAACCTGATATACATGATACATCCCGTCATATAGCAACTATGGCTACGATGCCAGAGCGCTTGGGGTATGAAGCGGACACAACACTTTGCCCGTTAAAAGGGCCAAAGCGCTTAGAATAAGTCTTCCAGAGTCATTTGCCTGGCACAGGTGCAATCAGCGTCATACCCGTGCTAGCCGCAGCGATGGCTTGAAACTCACTTGACAATGTCTGTACTGGCCACCATGTTCGTGAACTCTTCAAAGGACAGCTTGCCATCTCTGTTTAGACAACGATATCAGTCACTGTGCCTTCCGGCTGCGGGCCGCCAGTGTACTCACCCATCCTTGTCGGCCTCCATGATCGTCTTGTCCACAATTTGCTGCAATTGCTGGTCCTGTGAAGCGGCACAAGTCAATTCGAGATCTACAATGGGCACGCAGCACACGCGGCACTAGCTCACCTTCAGGTTGTTCCCTACCATCTGCTTTAATACGAGGTAAAGTTCTCCGTTCGAAATGTAACCGTCCCGGTCCATGTCGTATACCTTAAACGCGACTGAGCGGGTCGTCAAACAGAACAAGCGAGGTGACAGTGTCAGGGATCCACGGAGAGCGACAGGCGGGTAAAAGACCTCTCATCAGCACAGACCGCCGAAGCACGACGACCAACACGACTCACACCGCAGCTTCTCCTCCCTCCCGCCCTTACTGCTGAATGCACTCAGCCCGCCGACGAACTCCTGAAAGTCCACTGTTCCACTTCCACTACAGAGCAGGGTCAACCGCGTCTCGTTCGCGTGCGAAACCCTTCCATCATAATGGGATATCCACTCACTCTTCGTCAAAGATGGCAATCATGCGGTGCGCTAGCGGGTTGTTGGCGATCTGAGGGATTTGAAGAAACTCGTCTTTGTCGATAGATCCGGAGCCATCCTTGTCGAGCTTCATGAAACGCTTCTTGAGTCGCATCAGCTCTGGCGCGGAGACTAGCGAGAACATATCAGCATAAGAGGGCTCAGAAGACACGTCGGAACAGGCCATGCTCACAGTTGGAATTCTTCTCCAGCGAGTTGAACATTGAGGATTCAGCAGCTCCCATGATGGGCAGGCGTTTGTGGTTAGGCGTAACAGTTGGATCAATGTGAACAACAGGTAAAGGGATAACAAGAACGGTCTCAGTGAATGAAGCGCGAGCCAATTCGAGAGGAACAAACGTCACTGCTAGATTGCCACGTGGAGTACTGAGAAGCCTCGCTTTATTACAGATCACTTCCCCGCTGAGCAACCAGGCCACAGCATACCGTCGAAAAGCTCCTCTTCGGTCACCGGAGTCGAAGGTCTGGCAGCGGGAGACTGCATCGCATGCAGAGGAGAGACAACACACATTCAAAAAGTATGAACGCGGACGGGCTCGAACCGTCGACCTCCTCAGGACAGTGACGTGGAATCCACGTGTGAATGAGGCGAGCTAACCAACTGCGCCACGCATCCTATTGACACATCATGAGCACCCGTTATTAGCGGTATATATATGTATGCGTACTGCTTGCCTTTCTTCTTTCGCTCTCTTATGTTTTCTGTTGCACGTTGTCTGATGATTCGTCACCCGCTTGCAAGCATTCTGAGCAGTATCCGACAGCAAGTAAGCGCAGACGCCATCTTGATTGAACGGACTACACAAGGGCTACGCGCTTCATCTGAGCTCACCTGGGTACTTGCTCAACGCAGGAGTGCCACGCGTCGGACGTCACCGCTCCCCGGGAGTGACGACAGTTGTTGTTGTAAGCCGATTATGTCGACCGTGCATCTCAACCGGAAGTCACATCGAGGATAGGCAGAGAGGAGCAGCAGCAGCATGTCAAGCTCCTCATCTGCTCCTTCGCCGTTGGGCGGTCCACCCAGACGCCCGGCCAAGCGAGAGACGAATACGGTCGCAGGGGGAACCGTGCCGCGAGATCCGGCTATCGACCGAGCTCTTCAACTATCCAACTTTGAGAGCAACTATGGCACAGAAGACTTCATATCCTCCTTGAGCGAGAAGCTTATATCGGAGTCGAAAGCGGACCCAGGACGTAGGTCAATTGAGACCAGGTGACGGCGTTCACTTACGCTTGACACAGCCTTCAATCCCAAACCATTCCTCCAAACGTTCTCTCCTGCCTTGGACTCGCTTTTGGCGTTAAGACAGCAGGTGGCGGAGCGGACAAAGAAGATGGAGACAGAAGTACGGAGGGCGGAACGCGAGTACGGTCGAAGGCTACGCGAGCTTGACGGTGGTTTCGAAGTGCGTTCCAATTCAGCGACATGCAATCCGTATGCTGACAAGCTCCAGACCATCGGTAACTCCTTCAGCAATCTGGAGACCCGAATCACCGATGTGGGAAGGACAGCTGTCAGAATAGGTGCGTCACCTGATCTCGAACACTGCTAATGTTCAGGCGAACAACTCGAATCTCTACATCAGACGCGGTCGACCGCGCAATCCACGTCACTACTTCTATCTTACTACCTGTCTCTCGCACACCAGACTTCAGTGACTAGCCCAGACGGCACAGCATCGACTCCCTTAGAGGCTCTGTTTGCGACTCGAACCTCAAGGGATGGTCGGGCTCGGCTATCTGTGATATTACGACGGCTCATGGCTGTAGGCAAAGACGTGGCGGACAACGCTTCCGCTGCCCTGGCAGAAGCAGAATCGAGCGCGACCCCTGGACCCGCTAATGGCGAAGAAAGCGGGAAATCTGAGAACAACCCTCGAGAAGCGGCACCAAATCCAAAGCTCATCAGCAAAAGGCGTATCGAGAAGGAGAAGGCGGAGAGAGTGAGGGACGAGATCGAGAGGTACTGCGAAAAGTTCGAGAAGGAGGTTTTGAGGTTGTTCGATCGAAGTTATAGGAAAGGTGACCCCAGAATGATGGCGGTCAGTGTGGTTATGAGGGTCACCGAAGGTCACTGGCTGACAACGTTGTCTAGCATTGCGCCAAAACCCTGCAAGACTTCAACGGAGGCGCATCATGCGTCCAGATCTATGTTAATCAGCACGATTTCTTCATCTCGAAAGATAGACTGCTGGAAGAAGCGGTAAATCCACAAAGCGTAACTGGCGAAGATGGCGAGGCTAGGCCGGCCGATTTGTATGTGATTGTTCGCGCGTAACGATAGGGGACAATCCGCTTACACAGCCGGTAGGTGGACCAGCATTGGCAACCCTGATCTTCCGCCTCCTACAACTGAGCCCGGGATGGAGGCTTTGGTGAAGGAGATCAGGGTGACTGTGAGCCAAGAAGCACAGATCGTCAAGGCAGTCTTCCCGAATCCCTCCGCTGTTCTCCAAGTGTTCTTGCAGCGAATATTCGCACAAGTGGTAAGTCAACGCAATGCATGTAACAACAAGCTTTTTCCTTGTTAACGCTCGGTATCCGCAGATCCAACAGCATCTCGAGTCTCTTCTGTCACGCGCAGCTACGATATCCACGCTGGCTGTGCTGCGTCTGCTGCACCTCACCCACTCTGTCTGCGCGGCCTTGGTGGATGATCTGAAAATGTATGATCTTACCCTTGGAAACTCCGCAACCGGGTCGTCGAAGACGTCCACAGCCGCTGGCGGTCCTCTAGCATCCATGCTCGATCATGCGCTGGAGGAGATGTTTGTCCCTTGGTTGGAAGGCACCCGGTATCTCGAGAGTGAGAGTAAGAATCTGGTCGAGCTGTATGCGGGACTACTGAGCAGATTCACCCGGTATCATGTGAGTACTGTTTCTCGCTCCCAACGAATCGAAGCCAATCTTGAGTATAGGAAACCGTACTCAAAGCCAAGCCCAACTCCCTCCTCGACAAAGTCGTCAATCAGCTTGCAACGTCCAGCACCGCAGCAACCTCGTCGTCCACCGCTCAAACAGCAGCCGCAGCCATATCGAAGTACGCCAACCTGTTCACGTCGTCAGGGGCAAACCGTAGTGCTGCTTCCTCATCCGTACAGGCTAAGCCCTTTGGGCCGAACGCGGCGCATCTGAACATACCGGGAACCGGCGCGAGGACCACGGGAGCGGATACAGGTGGCACCATCACACCGATAGGACGCCCCGGACTGCAGAGACAGGACACTCTCAAGGGGGAACTAGTCAATAAGGGACTAGAGGACAAAGTGTGGTCCGTAGACGGCATCCTTACCATCGAGATGGCGGAGCGGATGCTGAAATGGCACGCGGAGGCGGTTGGGAGGGCGGTCGAGCTGAGTGTATCCGGGGATATTGGGAAGAACGCTTTGGCGATGTCGAAGGTCTTGGCGGAGGCTATTGGTCGAAGTTTCATTGAGACCGCTCTTGATTCGTAAGTAAGGTCAGCAGCGAGATCTATCACGCCGCTGATGCATCTCACAGATCCCTCGCGAGGCTGGAGAGCCATGACTCACGATCGGAACCTGACCTTCAACCTCTATCTGTCCTCAAGCCGGCCGACCAGATATGCCACCTGTGGCAGCGATACTCCTCCACAGCTCTTTTGCCTCTTGCAGGAAGCACCGTTGCCATCAGGCGGGAGATGGGTACTTTCAACTCGCACAATATCGTCCGCATGGAGGGCAAGATTAACAGTGTTATACAGAAGACTCTCGACAGTAAGTACGAGGGTCTATATCTCAGTCAGACCGCTTACGCTGTGGATACGTAGGTATCGTCAGATGGCTCAGCTTCCTGCTTACCAAGCAGCAGAAGAACGACTACAAACCCAAGAACGACGATCTGTCATTCGCAAGAACCATCACTGAGCCATGCGAGTATTGCTGTGACTTCTTGTCAACCGTCAAGGATACCGTCAACGAGAGCCTGAGCGGTAAAAACGCTGAGGCGTACCTGACGGAAGTCGGAGTTGCCTTCCACAGGTGAGTGGTGGTGTACCGGGCAAGAAGGCAAGTTGATCCATTTCGCGGCATTAGTCTCCTCCTCGACCATTACAAAAAGTTCCCTGTGAACCCGACAGGTGGCTTGATGTTGACCAAGTGAGTGCATTGGTACTGGCAGAGAATTCGCTGAACAGGTGGATAGGGACCTGGCATCATATCAGGAGACGATGAATTCATACGGCATTCCAGCTGTCAACGATCGATTCGACATGCTTCGACAGCTCGGCAACTCATTCATCGTTCAGCCCAACGTGCTCAAATCGTATATGACCGAGTCACATCTCGGCCGCATCGACGCTCGGTTCTTACGGCCATATTTGGCGCAGCGGTCGGACTATTCTCAATTCTCCAGATCGTTACAGCTCGACGATGGACCGCTTCCCACAACGGCGGAAGAGGCCGTTCGACCCATTAGCTCACTGTCGTCATCCGCCTTGAATCGTGCATCGTCCATTGGGATGGGCTCTGGCCGCTTCAAGGGATCAAGACTCAGTACCATGTCTGGGGTGGCGGGGGCCGGTATGGGCAAGCTGAAGGAGATGCTCAAGGAGTTTGATACGTTGTCGCCGGAAGAAGCCGAGGCTGCCAAGAAATCGACCAATGGCCAGAGTGCTGGACGAGGGTACCAGCCAATGTTTTACATGGGTATGCATTGAACGCTGTATCTGGACACTCCACCATGGCCATGCAGGTGAACAGTACGCCTAGCCACGACAGCGTTCAAAGTCAGGTCGCGATGACTTGTTTGGTGAACTGCACGTCCGAGATTGCGTGAGGGTTGTGGCAGCATCTAGCCTTACGGCCTTGAGCCGACATGTTAGGGGGAGCCTAGCTGATAGATCGAGTTCCGTGGTGGATCACCGCTTCATCGAGTTGGAGACGACCTGCAGCTAACTGTGTACGTCAGGCGGCCTCGAGAGTTACACAGGTGTACATTCTCGTGCGTTGGCTCTTGAACATGACGACGGTATTATAATTCCCATACCCGATATACAGTACAGCCTAGCTACAAGGAGGTCAAACCGCTTCTAGAAGAAAGCGATGGATAACCCTTCCCGGGTCATCTTTTCGTGCCAATCTGGCAATCTGCCGGTCTCATCTACCTCCTCCCACACCTTCTCCACCAAAGCTACGTTATCCAACCATAGTCGTTCCGGGCCCGGTCTCAACATGTGCTGCATTGATCGTTTCCTGTCGTTGGCCGAGATACTCAGGCAGGCTGCCAGGAAGGCCGGCAAAGCGATGAACCCCCACAGGTCGCCGCTTGGCAGTCGAGTGATCGAATCCAGCAGTGATAATATCTGATCCCGAGCGGCCAGGAGTACAGGATGCAGTCCGCCGACTCGATGGACGCTCTGGTATAGCAGCACCAGAGCCGCCAAACGCCATAGTTCGCCAGCGATGGTGCGCGATATCAGCGCGGTCGAATCGACAGAGTGCATGGTGCTGAAGCTCTGCGATGACCACGCTTTCAGTGCCGATTCGAGCTCGTCCGCCTGATCCTTGATAGATACAGTTGAAACGGTCCCAGAGTTGAGCTCGGCGCACAAGTTGACGATCTCCGCCAGCAAGACCACGATTGCATCCGGGA